GTTCCACCAGAGCTCGTTGGCATTCCGGGGTCCATGCAAAATCCTTTTTCTTTTTTAGCAAGGAAAAGAAACGGTGACTTTGATCTGACGACCTCGAAATGAACCGACCCAAAGCAGCTATTCGCCCTGTTAGCCTTTGCACGGCCTTCACGCTATCCACGATCGTGATATCCTCGATGGCCTTGATCTTATCATGGTTATTCTCGATACCCCGATTCGACACCATGAAGCCGAGAAACTTACCCGAGCCGACTCCGAAGGCACACTTCTCCGGGTTAAGCTTCATGTTGTATTTCCTTAATATTTCGAATGTTTCCTACAAATGAGCTGAATGGTCCTCTGCGTGCAGGGACTTAACCAACATATCATCAATATAAAATTTCATTGTTTTACCTATTTGTTCTTCGAATATTTTGTTGACTAGGCGTTGGTATGTAGCTCTTGCATTTTTTAGCTCGAAGGGCATTACGTTGTAACAATAAGTTCAAAACTTAGTAATAAACGAAGTCTTTTCCTGGTCCTCGGGGTTCATCTAAATTTGATTGTACCCGGAGTAGGCATCGAGAAAAGTTAGGGTCTCGTGGCCGGTCGTGGCATCGATCATACGATCGATGTTTGGCAATGGGAAAGAATCTTTTGGACATGCCTTGTTCAAGTCCTTACAGTCTACACACATTCTAAGTTTGTTTCCTTTTTTAGGAAATACAACTACGTTGGCTAACCATTCGGGGTTCTTTACCTCACGAATGGATCCTATTTTAAGAAGTTTGTTTACCTCGTCTTTTATGAAAGCATACTTTACCTCGGACTGAGGTCTCCTTTTTTGCTTCACCGGTTTGAACCTGGGTCGGTGCTCAACCGATGTGTGGTGATTTCCGGTGGAATCCCTATCATATCTAAAAGGGACCAAGCAAAGCAATCCATATTATCAATAAGAAATTGAATGAGTTTTTTCCTGAGTTCGGGGGTTGATCCTGTTCCCAGGTATACCTTTCTCTAGGTCAAGTATTTGATAAGTATGACTCGCTCCAGTTCCTCGACGGTTGACTTGGTTGCATCAGACTCTTCGGGAACGACAAAGGTTCGAGGAGTAAGGAAATCCTCTTCTTCATCTTCGATTACCTGTTGCTCCGACTCCATCGAGGCTGGGGGCTGTGATTGCTATTTAGCCGCCTGCTTACCTTTGGTGCTCGATTTCTCCGAGGTCAAAGGCTCTAGTATCGGCACCACTTCCTCGATTGCAAACATCTCTTTTTCAGCATGTTGCTCTCCGTAGACCGTTTTCACTCCTTCCCCTGTTTGGAACTTCATCATCTAGTGAAGAGTTGAAGGCACTGCCCTCATGTTGTGTATCCATGGTCTCCCGAGGAGTGCGTTATATCTCATGTCACATTCGATGACATGGAATTTAGCGTCTTGTATGGTCCCGGCTACGTCTACTGGCAAGATAATCTCTCCCTTTGTTGTTTTGCTTGCCATGTTGAAGCCATTTAGGACCCGGGATGCGGGTACAATCGGATCTTGTAGGCCAAGTTATTCCACGACCCTCGATCTGATTATGTTTGTTGAGGTACCTGGATCCACTAAAACACGTTTAACTTGAATTTATTTAAAGGGATAGAGATTACCAGGGCGCCGTTGTGAGGCTGAGATATGCCTTCTGCTTCCTCGTCACAGAATGATAAGGCGTCCTTAAGCACATAGCTCCGAGTCCATTTTTCTCTTGTGATCGACACCTTGGTGCGTTTGGACACAAGTCTCTGCGGAATATCGGCACCGCCAACGATCATGTGGATTACATGTTGCGGTTCTTCCTGCCCACTTTTTCCCGAGTGTATCTCCCTAAAATGGTTTTTGGCTCGATCACTGAGGAATTCTCGAAGGTGACCCTCGTTGAACAACTGAGCCACTTCTTCCCTTAGCTGCTTGTAATCTTCTGTTCTGTGACCATGTTGCCATGATACTTCCACATCAAGCTCGGGTTCCTTTGAGAAGGATCGGTCTATATGGCCTGGTCCACTTGGTGTCCTTGATTCTCCCAATAGTTGATACAATCCCCGACGCATCTATGCTGAAGTTGTACTCCGATAGTCGGGGTGTTCTGCGGGATCGGTATGTTTATCGAACCCGCTCTTACGCATGAGTCCCCGAGAACTTTGACCTCGATCATCTCTCCGATCGTTCCGAGGAGTGGTCCGACCTGAACCGTTGTTCCTTCGATCGACATATGGTTGATACCGTTCCCTGTTCAATATCGATTCTCTATTCGTATCCCTTGAGGGCTTGGCCGCGAACATGTTAGGATGCACTGAACTCGAGGGGGCTCCCAACTGGTCGTCCTCAACCCTGATTTTTGATTGATAACGATTGTGCACATCTGACCACGTCACAGCGGGATACTCGATCAAGTTCTGCTTTAATTGTCGAGACGCAATCGAGCTCCGTTCGTTCAAACCCTGCATAAAGGCCTGAACTGCCCAGTTATCGGAGACCTGTGGTAATTCCATTCTTTCCATCTGAAACCTGGACACGAACTCCCTCAACATCTCGTCGTTCCTTTGTTTTATCTTGAGACATCCGATTTTCTCGTGGCCACCTTTATGGCCCCGGCGTGCGCTTTCACGAAGGCGTCTGCAAACATAGCAAATGAGTCAATAGAGTTAGGAGGTAAGTTGTGATACCAGATCATGGCTCCTTTAGACAATGTTTCTCCAAGCTTTTTCAACAAGACTGATTCAATATCGGCGTCATTCAAATCATTTCCTTTGATCCCGCAAGTGTATGAAGTAATATGCTCGTTAGGGTCGGTTTTCACGTTATATTTGGGTATATCGGGCATGCAAAACTTCTTAGGAATAGGCATCGGAGCCGCGCTCTGAGGGAATGGTTTTTGTATGAACTTTTTGGCGTCTAAACCTTTCAAAATTGGAGGTACCCCCGGTATCTGGTATACACGGGAGTTATAAGTCTCCACCTTCTTATCATTGTCTTCAATTTTCTTTTCTCCGGACTCGATCCTCTTAGTGAGCTCTTCGAGAATTTTCATAATGGTGGGATCAGTCCCCGAGTCATTTCCATTTGACCTTTCTAGCGCTGGCTCAGCACATCGATTATTTTCATGTTCAGCTACACTCGGAGTCTTATTTTGACTTTGAAGTTGAGCAATGGCGATCTGTTGATCTTGCAGCATCTCGAATATCACTTGGAGGCTGATTCTCCCATCACCCACTCCTTGTGTTCCTTGGCCACCAGGTCGGGCTTCCCTGCGTACACTCCCTTCGGGGTCTGTGCCTAAATCTGCGTTTAGAGCAATATGTGAACTAACATCAACTAGTTCCATATTTGGCACTTCCACATGGTTTATTGGTGGCACATCGACCCCTATATTGTTGTTTTCACCAAGACCTCCGTCGTCATGAACAGGTGCATTTTGTGAGCTAGACATATTTCAGCCTGAGAATCAAAAATTCTTGACAAGAAAAAATGTAAAAATAACGTGTGTAGTGAGAATGAGTAAAGAAACAATCACTATTATCTTTAGCCCTATGGTGGGCGCCAAACTGTTTACCTCGAAAATACGAGTAACAATTAAATTTGATTTGTGATTTTAAAGATATGTGATTAGATTCAATACCAATTAATATAATCAAGAAATATGAAGTAGAAATGAAAGAAACAAGTGAATCAAACCAAAGTTACTCAGCAGCGGTGACTTCGAGCTTCGTGACCTCGAGGTAGGTTCAGAGCAATATTTAAATTAAGTAAGAAAAGTAAAGTAAGAGCAGTAGAGCTAAAGGACAATTCTGATGAACAGTAAGAGAGAAAAGTAGGATAGTATATTCTTGCCAATAATGAGATGATCTTACAAATGATTGGGGGTCCCCTTTATATAATAGGTGAACCCTAAATAAGGTATATTTCTATTTACAGTAAGGAATATTCTTGATACAGATGTCTAACCGCCTGGTACGGAATCGTACAATCCTATTCGGAATTTGCACCGTGATCTTGGGGACGTGCCAGGAATCTAGCTCATTCTATTACAAATCTTTAACGGTACTATTCCGGGTCAAGCATACTCGGCCTCGGTGTACATCATGCTTCAATCTTCGGGCATTGCACTCTGTCCTCGAGCTCGGGTCTGGTCCCTCGAGCTCGAAATCAACCTTGCCTGAACTCGGGCTCAAGATGATATACAGATAGTCCCATCGAGCCTATAGATCGGAGGCATAAGATTTCGACCATATACACATACATTCATGCTTGACCAAAAAAATTTGAAGAACGAGCACCAACACTTGCCAAATGCAGCAACAACTAAGGAGCAGCAATCACTCTAATATTCTAACTCACCAATTGTAACAGCAACTGACGACCTGCTCCAGCTCAAAAAATCCACTCCAGTTACACATTCTAATTGGAGCCTCAAAGTCATTATAAGCAGCAGCTAATCATAGAAAGATAATCTCCAAAAAAGAGAAAGAAAATGGTTAAACATTCTAATTGGTTGTTGGGCTTAGTTTATTGGGCAAGAAAATATAATTATAGAGTAGAGGTGGGTTGGCCCGTAGGACTAGACTGCAGGAAATATTTTGGTATTTCGGTATACCGAATAATCGAAAACTCAATACCGAACATCATACCAAAATGTCGAAATATCGAAAAATACTGAAATACTAAGTAAATCGACACCGAAATACCAAATTAATTCGGTCCAGTTTGGAATTCCATTTTTCGAATTTTATGCCTACCACTAGTTAAAAGTGGCTATTTTTCAACTTATTCCCTTGTTTTGGGAAAACAGCCAAAATGGGCAAGCTAGTTCATGAGCCTGCAGGCAGAGGATCAACAGTCAATTCCCACAAAACAGGAAAAAAGACAAATGGACGAATCAAATAGGGTAAAATGAGTGGAAGAGAATCTCCCTGACGTGGCACGAATCAACCGGTCAAAAAACTCGGAAAAAAATTATTAATTATGGAAAGTGATTTTCTGAAAATTGTCTGCACTTGTTTTTTCAGTGGAAATCTAGGGTGCATTGTCTTACTATAATATTTTCCACCAATCTATAGGAATATTAGTATCAGTGAAGAAAGAAGAGAGGAGGAAAAATGGAGGAAATAGGGTTTCTGGGGATGGGTATAATGGGAAAGGCAATGGCCGTCAACTTGCTCCGCCATGGTTTCAAGGTTACTGTTTGGAATCGCACTCTCTCCAGGGTATTTATATTCTTTTCTCCCTTATCTTTTCACGAGACCGGGCCTCCATGAATGATAGATGTGTTAAATATATGGAAGAAGAAGGGATTTAAGAAAGTGAAATAAAAGGATGCTCTTTTCCTCTGCTTTTTGATATATGCATATTAACTTAAACATTATAAGATTGAACTTTGTATTAAGCCTACTTTGCAGATTATGAGTAATAATTAAAACTCCCTCTGTATTTGCTGTTTTAATAGAGATGGATTTGATCAACTGGATCCCTCCTGTGTTTTCTATCTTGAATACATTATTTTTTCAACAACAAAAAAAAAAGATCCCTTTGTACAACTTGAGACTTGTGTGATTATGCATTTATGTGCTTTTCAGCTTTGTTTCCCTGTTATATTTATGAAGAAATCCCCACGATTGATAGGGTTAAACTCGGTGGATAATAGGCCACCCTTCTCCATTTAAATACCATGCTTTTGTTTACGGTAGGGTTCAAACTCCTGAGGTGCACCTAACCCACACATCACACCCCCAAAGCTCTAGGGGCTTTATGAACACGAAATTTTGTGAATGTATTGCAACTAAGGTGTTTAAATCCATTTTTCAGCTGTCTGCTTTGGTAGGTTCCAGTGCAAAATCAAGGCAATTTAGAGTTCAGTAGGTGAAATGGACGTGGGAACTATTTATGAATAATTTCACATTTTTATAACTATCTCAAAATTTAACAACTATCTATTGACTTGTGTAAAATGGATCATTACCTTCACCTTAATAATCAAAGATTTACCTTCCTTTGATGCAAATAGTCGTGCAATTCATGATCAAGATTTTGTTATGAGTGCAGTGTGATGAGCTAGTGCAACATGGAGCTTCTGTTGGAGAAACTCCTGCAGCGGTAGTGAAGAAATGCAAGTATACGATTGCGATGTTGTCAGATCCTGCTGCAGCTCTTTCAGTTAATCAGCCTATACAAACATGTGAATAGAAAGAATTCAAATCATTGAAGTTTGTTTGTACCTAATGAGAATTTGTTTGTTTTGTGATGAGCTAGGTGGTTTTCGACAAAGATGGTGCTCTTGAGCAGATATGTGGTGGGAAGGGGTATATAGACATGTCAACCGTTGATGCTGATACTTCTTCAAAGATTAGTGAGGTTGGAGTTTCATGCTTCCTGTGCTTCTTCTTTGATAATTCGAGCTGAAGCAGTGTACTATCAGAATCAAGTAGAATTCCTGTTATAAAAAGCAAAGAATTACTAATAGTGAATGATTACAGGCCATTACATCAAAGGGTGGCTGTTTTGTTGAAGCTCCAGTTTCAGGGAGCAAAAAGCCAGCTGAAGATGGCCAACTAGTAATTCTAGCAGCTGGGGACAAGGTAATATTATTTAATGTATGAATTTGTCTTCATGTTGTGCCATTTTATAACCATTGACCTGAAACTGCAATGAAGATATAAGGTGACAACTACATGAACTTGTGTTGATGATATCTCAAATCCTTGTAGGCGCTATACGATCAAGTGCTACCTGCTTTTGATGTCTTGGGAAAGAAATCCTTTTTCTTGGGACAGGTTGGAAATGGAGCAAAAATGAAACTTGTTGTTAATATGATCATGGGCAGGTAATTAATTACTCTTTTTATGTTAGTTTTATTTTCTTGCAACTTTAATCGGTTTTGATATTCCCTAATGGTGCAGTATGATGAACGCGTTTTCGGAAGGAATTGTATTGGCGGACAAAAGTGGATTGGACCCTCATACCCTTCTTGATGTGTTGGTAAGCAAGCTTATATTGTTATTTATCAGTTATTTTCCACTTAAATAAATATTCAGAAATTGTGTCTTCTCACAGGACCTTGGAGCCATTGCTAACCCAATGTTTAAGATGAAAGGACCTGCTATGATCAACAACAGTTACCCGCCTGCATTTCCTCTCAAACACCAGCAAAAGGACATGAGGTTGGCTCTAGCACTTGGAGACGAGAATGCAGTGCCAATGCCAGTGGCTGCTGCTGCTAATGAAGCATTCAAGAAGGCGCGGAGCTTGGGTTTGGGAGACCATGACTTTTCAGCTGTGTTCCAGACTATTAAGGGAGCTCAAAGTTCAACCTGAATGCAAGAATAACAACTTGAGGAGACCCTCGATCATCCATTTTGCCAACTCTTGTAGTCTCTGAAATTATTAGTTAGTAGAAATTGTGATAAAACCTCTCTATGAACTATTCAAGTGCAAGTGCAGAATTTGAGAATTTATAAGCCCGTAGAGTTTTGCAAAAGAGAGTTAAAATCATCCTGGGTAAATAATCACTTGCCAAGTGAACTTGAAACAACATTTTGATCAACTCCCATATTCCTTTTACATGGCAATCAAGTGAGCTTGGAGTATAGAAAATCTACTTGTGTCATCAGTATCTCTGGGATTGCGACCAAATCTGATTTCATCTTTTACTGGAAAAGCAAGAGGAAGACGATATGGATGCTGAATTTTTTTTGGAAGAAGAAGCTGACTAGGGCTAAGCTAGAGCTAAGAAGAGAATGAAAACTAGGGCAAAATAAGATTTCATTCATGGCCTCTGAAAAGGGATTACACATAGGGAAACAAGACACTAGGGACCAAAGTCAAATTAAGGAAACTTAAAATAATAAAGTGACTTAACGTATTCCAACACCCACGTACAACTGCTCAAAACTCAGGCACCAGTTCCCCAAGCATACAATTCCCTAGCCAATTCCATATGAGTAGTATCAGAAGAACCATCCATTTCTTTCCCTTTACTCTCTCTCTCTCTTTCTCACTCTTTATGAGTTGCCAAAATGAATTGCTTGCTGAAATAGTAAGTAAGAAAAACCTTTATTGTTAAGCACAATGTTTCATACTTCCCATACAACAAGAGACCTTCACCACTTTAATACCAAATTGTGGGACCAGAAGTAAAACCCGTAACGAAGTCACTTGTTAGACTTGGAGGCCTTGAATATGTGTTCCTTGAAGTATTTGAGTTCTGCTATGCTCTCCTTAATGTCATCCATAGCTCTATGCTTGCTTTCCTTTTTAGGAGCCCTTTTGCTATCTAATGAAAAAGCAGGAAAATAAAACATGCAACACTCAAAGCAATTAGATATCCACCTATTGTATCAGAATAAAATATGCTAGCAGCCTGGCACTGAATGTTGTAATAAAAATAGAATACCTAGCCGTCCGCCTCCTTAACCACCCCCCGCCCATTGAGGGATACTTTAAAGTAGACATGATAAACCTCAAAATCTTGTACTGGTTTTACCTCTTGGAAACCAACGAACACACAATGCCTTGACACTGCTGACATCAACTAGTACATGTGAAAAAAGACTAGCCAGATTCGGCATGTATTTCTGCACAGATAAAAATAGAATGAAAACAATTTAGCAACAAGCCTTAATTTAAAAGGCCAATCGAGGAAACTGTCTAGAAACACTGAAGAATGCTCGACTAAGTAGCCATGAAGCAAGAAATATATAGTAATCACATGTCCATTTACTTGTAGATGAGATACCTCAAAATGATACGTCTATAGATTTATACTAACATAACTATACCTTCAAAAATTGAAAATCCACGTAGACTGAATTTCCTGCTAGCAATGGTGTATATGTGCCAATGTTTCTCTTGACAAATTCAATAACCTACATAATGCAAGCAAAACATAAGAATAATATGGACCACATAGCAATTGCCATGCATCTCAAATTCTCAATTATGCTGTCTCAAAGATTCATCGGAAAAGCTTAGACTGAAATAGCAATAAATCAACACAAGGAGGCAATAAAATTTACAACAGAAAGAAGAAGAAAAGGCAGAGGGAACGAAAGGTATTGATGTGATTACAACTCTTCAACTTGAAGCTATATTTTTTTTGCCTTTGTGGCATGGGAAAAATTGAAAACGGTATTCACCTCAAGGACCAATTACAATGTGAAGACATAGCCACTCTAAAAGTAATTGCTAATTTTCAGCATCTAGGAGGCAAGGACTTGTCCAAAAACGAGAACATGAAAAAACAATGGTTTAAAAAATTTGAGGTTCAGTATCACATGAAGTTATTGTCCAGAACATTACCCCTAAGAGAAAAATACATAGACCAAAACATACACGAGCTGACAACAGGCATGCACCTCTTGCATTCGCGTTCTGGAAGCTCCTCTCTTTCAAGAGCATTCACAAGCCCCTCAATATCTTGATGCGCATATACGAGTATACTCTTTAGGATTTGGTCTATGTTTTCAAACCATATCCTCAAGAGTCACTTAGGAGGTGAGAGAGACCTGTCGTACACCAAAAGAGGGGAGGGGGGGGGGGGTTGTTTAACTGGCACTATGGTGGGATACTCAGAAATGGGTCCATTCCTCTACTTAGCGCTTTTTTCAGCTTTCGGTACAATATTATATGTAACCAGTTCAAGGGGGGAAAAAGAACAAGTAGAACCAGATGTGTGAAATTACACTGTAAATATTTTTGTCATTTATCTTCGCAATTCTGGAATCTCACTGTTGTACATTTAAGACAAAAGGCTAGATCTACCTGTTTCTCAGCTTCTTCTTCAGTGACCGTACTCTTAAGCACCCTCTCGGTCAAACCTAAACGAAAGTAAGATTACCTTGAACTAAAAAAAGTGTTTTGATATTACTGAAAAAGTAACTTTATTCAAAATATAGCTGCCTAAAATGCAGAATGATGCTGATAGAGGTAAAGCGGCTCACCACTAGCTGCATGATGCTCTTGACACCATTCACCCATTTTGTCTAGACACTCCTTAGGTTGATTTATAACCAAATCCGGACCCTGTTTTTGGAAACATAAAATACTTCCTGCTTTAGAACCAGGAGGATATATGAAGTGATTCACAGAGGCACAAGAAATGCTGTCATATGGCAAAATTGTACTGGCTGAAAAGGTCAACAAGTCTTCCATATTATGCAGCAGTAGGATCAGTGTCATCCAAAGAGCACCGAACAACTGGGAATTCTTCAGATTCAATTTAGATTATAAGATAAGTACTGTATGTATCAATTTAAGTTACTCGCACAAAACAGTTTTGTGTAATGTATCATTTGACCATTACTTTCCTTTTTCCTGATTAACCACAAGCTCAAAGAAAACCACTGTTTTTGAAAGGGGGAATATACAAACTTAAAAAGACGATGATGTTAATAACATAACAAAATCAGAATTGCAGTGTATGAATACCTCAATTGATTTCGTCAAATTTCCATCTGTAACTACACAAGCAATCTCCAATATCCTATCAACTTCAATATTCAAACCTACATCGGAAGCAAAACAAAGTCATGATGTGCTTTTCATCTTCGATATTATGACTTAGGAGATGTGCAATGCTACTGTCCTTGTGTATTTGAGACATGCAAAAGTTTTCTGGAGCAGTATATGTGGCCCAGGCGGACCTATGTTGGGGGCGTCACCACTCACCGCACCCCGATACACAAACATTGGATGGGTGCACTGGTCAGCTTGCTCAGTTCCGCTCGTATTTGGTGACTTGGGTTTGATTCCCAACTTTAAAGTTTTTCAGTCCAGATTTTTTTTTTTTTCTTCTACCCCCCCCCCCCCTCTTCTTTTGATGAAATTTCTCCCTTAAAAAGCACCAAACCCACTTCTCTCTCCATGATGGAAGAAAGATACCCTTGCCTCAATTCCAAACTCAGCGTCTCTCTCCCGAACTTACACCACCACCCCGAAAGTTCTTGCCGGAACTAAGTTTCGCCCGACGAGACCCAACCTCTCTGTTAACAGTAAAGCCCGCACCTCCACAGGATTTGAAGGTGGCGGGAGGACCACTGTCTTTAACATACACATGCCAATTGCTAGGTACAAAGTTTCAAGTGCAACTCTCTGAAAACTTAATGATAACTTATGAACCAAGTATAAACTTCAAAATTTTCGAATATTATTAATTTAGTAAAATATAAGAAAAGTACATAATCTATTCATTCTTGACTTTGACGCGCTTTCATATTCAAAAAAACGGTCAATAATAGTATCATTGCTTACATTTACAAATATGTCCTTCTCAATGTAACAAACTGAACAATCATATAAAAATGGTTCACTAGTTCTACTACACAATCCATTTTTTATGTACTTCATGGATGAAAATGCTCTTCTACAGTTGCAGTAGCGCGACAGATAAAATCATAATAAACTTCACAAGTAAATAAACAAGTGAACTATTCTCCACAAGGTTTGTTTTAACAAGTGCTTTTGCCAAATCACCAACTCGTTTCAGATCATAGAACATAGGGTCAACGCGTCTCACATGCATTATAAAAGTATCAAGTTAGTAATCGAGATCTCGAAGCTTCAATTCACGAAACTCGGCTGGATAGGCCAATGTTATTATTCTGTTCTCATCAAATTTAGCAAATGAATTAGCCGGATTCAAACTTGTCATAACGGGAAGCAAGTTACTGCTCACAACATCAAAACAATTGTGAAGCTTGAAGTTGCAAATTATTTACAACACAAAAGAGCTCAATAGGAAAGTGATTTGAATATGTTACACTAAAGGTCTACACTTCGACTTATTGAATTCGTCTATCTTGGACGCTAAAATATATGTTTATCACAAAATGAAGAGACTTCATCCATCAAAATTCTCACCCTTCTCTCATCAATTGTAACATTTCCTTAATAAGGTCAAAATACCATGTCATTTGACAATATCTTGCTCTTTCCTCTGCAAAGATACACCCAGCTCATTCGACATCACCAACACTTTCAACATCATGAGAAAACAAATTCACTAAATATCCTGCTTGAAATCTATCATTTGGATTAGAACCCTCACATTCACCTCAAGCACATGAATGATAGATAGATGAAAATAAAACAATAAACTTATCCAATGTTCTAAAATATGATCCCCAAGTAGATCTTTATGCTCAAAAGATGCTCCAACCACATTTAACATGTTAGCAAATATAGCAAAGAAATTATCCACATGCAAATGTATTTTCACAACAACTACAAAAGTTAATAGTAATTGATGAGCAAAACAGTAAATTCAATATAATGATGGATTGTCGTGCAAATTCAAAGCTTTAAGACCATTCATCTCTCCCTAAAACTACGTTTAGGAAGGAAAAAAAAATGCATCAGTTTAACCTGAGTTTGTTCAACGGTTCCTTTTCTAGATGGTTGGAGTATAGGTCACGAAAGATGCTGTATTTTATTTATGCTTCTATTTATTCAAAAAGAACTATGTTCATAAAAGCTCGGGTGATATTTCATGAAAACCGACTTTAAGGCTTGAAAGAAAAGGCTTGAAAAAAAAAATTTCACATGTAAGTAAGTAGCATCCACAATAATTTTCAAATTAATCTCAAGCAATTTAAAAGGTGGGGGGAGGGGGGAAGACGTGAGGACCGAATTCATTTAAATGCCTCAATTAATGTGGCCTAGGGCTTAGGAAATTGGAAAAAAGGCTTCTCAATGTGGATAGTGTTATAATAAAAAAAAGTTCCAAAAAATGATATGATGACTGCAAAAAATTAGGAGATTGTGAGAGCTTGTGCACAAGAAAAGGTGAAGGCTATAATTGATGACTTGGGAGGAGATTATTTTGGTATATTAATTGATAAGTCCAAGGACATCTCTCAGCATGAGCAAATGGCACTTGCTTTGCAATATATTGAAAAAAATGACGAAGTGAATCAACAAGTTATTAGTGTTGTTCGTGTCAGTGATATATCGGCACGGTTATTGAAGGAAATAATTTATTCTTTTCTTTTGAATCACTCATTAAGTCCATTTAAAATATGTGTATAAGATTATGATGGAGATAGTAACATGTAGGGATATGAATGGTCTGATTTTGCATGATACTCCATCATCATATTGTATTCACTGTTTTGCTCATCAATTACAGTTAACATTTATAATTGTTGCCAAAAAATGTTTGCATGTGGATAATTTCTTTGCTATAGTTCCTAACATGTTGAATGTGGTTGCAGCATCTTTTGAGCGTAAAGGTCTACTTCAAGAACACCAAGGAGAAATGTTGGATAATCGTCTATATGGTGAAGTTCGAAGTGGGAATGGATTACTTCAAGAGTGATGGCTTCAAAGGTAAGATGATACTCGATGGGGATCACATTTTAGAACACCGGAGAACTTCATTGCTTTATTTCATCTATTGTTCATGTGCTTGAGGTGATTGGATGTAAGGGTTTTATCCTAAATGATAGAATGCAAGCAGAATATCTTTTGATTAAGATCAATGAACTTGAACTCATTTTCTTGCTTCATTTGATATTGAAAGTGTTGGTTATGTTGAACGAACTGAGCACATCTTTACGGTTTTCCAAGCCATGGTATTTCTTAACTGTAGTAAGAAAATGTCGCAATTGATGAGAGACCAAATAGGAATCTTCAATGGATAAAGGCTCTTTATTTTATGATAAACATGATAATTTGGTGCCTTAAATAATCGAAATCTATATTCCGAAAAAGTCTACACATAAACCTTCTAGTGTTATTTATTGACATCACTTACGTGTTGAGCTTTTTTGTGTTATAATTGAGCTGCAACTTCAAGAGCTTAATAATCGTTTTGATGTATGAGTAGTAACTTGTTCTTTTTATTATGACGGTGTTCGAGCCAGCTTGAACACACCTCGACTATTCTACAGGGTACCTACAACCTCCCATCGGCACAAGTAATAAGAGTAAGTAATAAGTAACTCTGCTCACCAAGGCTGAGGCGGATGGCATCGGTTTGCAACTTTAGAAGCTTAACAATTTTGTAAGTAGAAACTTGCTGAATCCGGCTAATTCATTTTACTAATTTTGATAAGGAAAGAATAATGACATTGACCAAGTATTATCCAAATGAGCTTGGTGAATTAAAGTTTGGAGATCTCAGTTACCAACTTGATACTTTCATAATGCACATGCCACGTGGTGACCCTATGCCTAAAATAATCGAAATCTATATTCCTAAAAAGTCTACGCATAAACTTTCTAGTGTTATTTATTGACATCACTTACGTGTTGAGCTTTTTTGTGTTATAATTGAGTTGCAACTTCAGGAGCTTAATAATCGTTTTGATGTATGAGTAGTAACTTGTTCTTTTTATTATGACGGTGTTCGAGCCAGCTTGAACACACCTCGACTATTCTACGGGGTACCTACAACCTCCCATCGGCACAAGTAATAAGAGTAAGTAATACTCTGCTCACCAACGCGGAGGCGGATGGCATCGGTTTGCAACTTTAGAAGCTTAACGATTTTGTAAGTAGTAACTTGCTGAATCCGGCTAATTCATTTTACTAATTTTGATAAGGAAAGAATAATGACATTAAAGACAATGGTGCCCACCTGATGACTCAACAACGAGTCAAATTTTGGGTTTGGGGGTTTTGGGGGGGTT